ATATTTTGGCCTTTTTGCTCTTCAGTTATCTTTCCAGATTACTTAATATGACAGACACAGGTCTGTCATATTAAGTAATCTGGAAATTGCAATTTTTTATTCAGTCCATGAGGACAGATTTTTATTATTCCAAGGAGCATGCCAAAGGACATCTTGTGTGAGAGTCTATTCATCCCAGTGATGGTATTTTTGCTTTTTTTCCACTGAAACAAAATATAACATTTATTACTGGACTCAGGGATTGAACTCATGATAATCAGGTTACTAGATACATTTAGCTAATATTTTTATCCCCTAAGAGCTGAAACACATGACTTGTGGGCCACATGCAGCCCATGGACCATTTTTCTGCAGCCTTTTTCATCAAAATTTAATGAATTTGTCCCTCATCACTTCCATAGTTTTGCAGTAGCAGTGTTGAGCTAGTACACACCAAGTGCCAACAAACAGTCAAATCAATTTTAAGGTCAGTGAAAATTGTTCTAGTTCCTCTCCACGGAAGAGAAGAGAAGTTGATTTTGATGCTGAAGGATGTGTCCTATATTAACCTATGTGGGACACATTTTTGCCTTGCATTTTGACTGATGACAATTTTTAGGTTTTTTTTTTTTTAAAGACGTACTTACTAAACATGAACGGCTGGAAAACATATGAAATCTTGCCTCTCTACATGTTCTTCTGTCCTACCTTTCCCTTTCACAGTTCCTATTTCTCAAAAATACCAAACCAATTTAATTTAGCTTTGTATGTTCATGGAACCCTGGCTAATAACCTGTTCCAAAGAGAGGCCATGTATTCTGTGGTTGGGAAGTTGATGCTCACCCCATTGACAATACTTAAAATATATCTAAACAAGAAGGTATACAGATGGATTGACTCAAAAATAAAGAGACAAATTTAAACTGTAACATAATACCAATTACTGGTTTTATTTTTTTTTCAACTTGTCCAGCTAGAAATAGTAGACATTAAAAGAATACTAATCCAACAAAGAAAAAAAAATCTGTGTTAAAAGAAGTTATTTCCTTGACACCGCTATTACTGTATACGCCTTTGACTCCCTTGGCAATTTTTATTTACAAGATCATAAAAATATGTGAACAAAGTACAAGGGGATATTTATCATTTCATAAATAACTAATGAAAAAAATTTATTTATTCCTAAAAATATCTATAAACTATAGAACAAGAAAATTTAAATAAACATGTTTTTTCTGAACATTATATATTTTCTTCTCAAATTATTTTATATCACATAACTTTTTGATTTAATTTTCACGCTGAGAGCAAATGAAAGAAATAACTGAAAAATGCATTTTTCAAAGTTTATGAATATTTATTCATTGTTAAGCGTTTAATTAAATTTTCTTGTTCACAGAAACTTTTATAAATTTATGTATAAAACAATTACTTTTCTTATTTATTTCTTTATAAAATGGTAAATAATAAATTTTCATTAAATGGTAAATAATAAATATTTACTTGTGGTTGGTTTACATATTTATATAATATTGTAAATATAAAATTATTCTTGTAAATAAACACTCTAATAAATAGTGTTTAATATCTTTGTTGTCAATTCTCAAGAACAAAGAAAATGTATAAATCCACTTTCATATGTTTGCGTTTTATTAAAATTCTAATCATTACTTTTTAAAACAATAAACACTATGAAAGGAGTCAAAAGAGTATGCAGTAATAGTGATGTTAAAGAAAAAAAACATCTTTTGACACGCCTTAGTTGGTCATTTTTAACAGTCTTTTCCTGAGATGTATTAACTTTTGGTCAATTCATATAAAAATTTGTCACAGTACTAAATGTCCAACAGCCCAGTTATCTCCTGATATTGTGGTAGTAATAGAAAAACAACTCACTATTTACTGATTGATGGTCCTCACTTTATTCAAACATTGGATGGAAAGAGAAAGGTTGAAAAAGGTAAAAAAAAAAGTTTCCTTTTTTTAAAATCATCTGACCATTTTCAACAGTACTGAGCATTCAAGACAGAGAAGGCCCAAAGAGCAAATGCTGGGATGAATGCTTACTGGTTGCTTTATATATGCATTCCCTGACCAAATCTACATCAGCATCTGGAAACAAGTAATCATGCAATGAATTTAAGCTAAGCAGCTTGGTCTTGTCATTTTACTGTTGAAGTTGCTGGATGTAAACGTAAGCTTCTATGCTAATAGTTTCATTCATTGCACATCCCACTTGTAGAACACTCGCCTAATTTTTTTCTTCAAAGATTTAAATGCAATGTTGGCATTTTGAAGCCTGGTCTTTTATTGTCCTCTTTCTCCACAATGTTTTCTCCGTTTATTTCACTCTCTGTAACCCCTTGCATCACAGTTGCTTTATCGCTTTGGTGTGAAATGATAAAAAAAAAAAGTTTCTTCTCTTAATCACATCATGTTACCAAATGCAAAAGACATGTATTTTGCCTATACAGTCCAACATCTTTAATCTGGCACTCCATGATCCAACTACTCCCATGGTTCTGCGATCTTTTGAATCAACCACCATTAGTTTATTGAACATCTATAAGAGCAGTGACATACATTGTTAACAAATTTCAGGACAGTAAGTACATATTTTTTGGTTTTAGGATTTTTTATTTTAGCCTTTGTATTGCATAAAGCAATAATAAAAACCTTGTTTGGAAGCATTAATGATTGCTTTATTTCTTGTTTTAACCCCTTCTCTGACAATTATTTTGGGAAAAACATTTCATTTTCAGACAAATTTCTTATTTGTTTTTAATATAGTAACTAAGAAACTGAGGCATCTTGAAGTACCCAAGTGGTGGCTAACTCCTTTACCAGATGTATGAGTTGACAGACTCGTTTCAAGCTCACAAGAGCATAAAATGTATCAAGATTGATGTATAAATGTATCTGTAGCTGGTTTTTGAACGTATTAGATGTGCTTATTTGTCTGTATCTGAAAAGACACTTTCAATAAAAATGTATATACATGTCTACACCAGAGAAGGGGTTAAGCTTGTGTTATTGATAACACAGCAATATATATGTAGAATGAACTGGCAGAACTATATTTATATAGGATTTTTTAGGAGTGATTTCTGTTATTTGGTCTGGTTCCTAAGGTGCCAGATTAAAGAGATTAGACTGTAACACATTGCAGAATATATTAAAAGTTGTCAATTTCCATTTGTTCCATGGCCCCAACATTTACAGTATCACAGCTAGATCAGGAAAAGTTTTTTCATGAAAAGGAAGATGAAGTAGACTGACAAATTAACTTATTGAACCTGGTTTAAAAAAAGATCTCTAAGAGATGAGCATGTACTATGTTAGCAAGAAGTTAATTTTGAGCCAGAAATTTACAAGAAAATGATTTCAAATATTGTATTCTTAGATGATATGAAAAATTCATTATGAGACAACAGATTTGTCTGCATTTTCTACAAACACACCAGGGGGATTTCTTTCCTTCATGTGTTTTTTCATGTGGTCTCTGACAATTGATGCTCGAGAAAATCCCTTTGCACATATCTCACACTTGAATGGTTTTACTCCTGTATGTGTAATCATATGTCTCTTGACACTGTACTTCTCAGTAAAGGCAGCTCCACAGATATCACATTTGAAGGACTTTTCACTCATATGTGTTCTCATATGGTTCTTAAGATTTGCTAATTGTAAAAATGATGATCCACAAACACCACAGTGAAACATTCCCTCACCTGTATGTATTTCACAATGGGACTTCAAAGCTGAGTTCTCAGAAAACTTGTCTCCACAAATGTCACAACTAAAGTCTTTTGGCATGTTATGTCTCAGCATATGCCTGTTAAGATTAGACTTATAAGCAAATACATCACCACAATTTTCACACTTGAAGGGTTTCTCTCCTGAATGTGTTTTCATATGACTTCGGAGATTTGCTGTTGTAGAAAATGTCTTCTTGCATTCTTTACACATGAATGGTTTCTCTCCTGTATGTGTTCTAATATGGTTTTTAAGTTGAGACCTACTGGCAAATGCCAGTTCACATATATCACATTGAAATTGCTTTTCACCTGTGTGCGTTATCATATGTAACTTAAGAGAAGATTTTTGGGCAAATGCTGATCCACAAATATCACAGGGAAATGGTTTCTCCCCTGTATGTGTTTTAATGTGCCTCTCAAGAGTGGCAGATAAGGAAAATGCTTTTCTACAAATGTCACAGTGGAATGCTTTCTCACCTGTGTGTGTTGTCATATGATTCTTGAGACTTGAATGTTCAGAAAACCTAGAGCCACACACATCACACCAAAAGGGTCTTTCTCCTGTGTGTATTTTCATATGTCTCTTGAGATGAGCATGACATGCAAATGCTGAACCACAAATCTCACAAGGGAATGGTTTTTCTCCAGTATGTGTTATCATGTGCCTCTTCACAAGTGATAACCGAGAAAAGGCCTTTGCACATATTTCACATTGGAAAGGCTTTTCACCCGTGTGTGTTATCATATGTCGCTTTAGTTTTGAGTTCTGATCAAAAGCTGATTGACAAAGATTGCATTCATATGGTTTTATCTCTACTGAGTGTATTGTTCTTAAATGAGTCCTGAGCAATGCTAAACCTGGAAGCAGCGATCCACAAATATCACAGGAAAATATTTTCTTGCTTTTGTTATTTTTCAGGTCTACTTCAGTCATGATAGATTTTTTTTTAAACAAAGAAATCTTTCAGAAAGATTTAACTGACAAAAATTTCAAATATGAATGCTTTCTACTAAGTTAATCATTTTGATAGAATTGTATACAGGTGGTCAGGAAAACCATGCACAGAAAAAAAATCAAACCATGGTGGGTATTCTTTAACCTGTATAGCATAATTGAACTTAAACTGATATGTCCCAAGAATAATAGGCATCTGTTCAGCGAGTTGTAAGTAATTGCGAATACAGAATTAATCACTGAATAATCTGTAATTTCAATAAATCTCCAGAAAGAACAGCTCAAAGTTCCATTCATCATAGTCTTACATCTGAAGATGAAAATCTGAAAATGGAAAAATTATTAAATAAAAAAGAGATATATAATTTTCTGTTGTTTCTAAACTATAACAATGAAGTTAATGAATACACCAATACCTTGATTAATGAAATTAATGTTCCATTTTATTTCACTATCAGAAATTTTATTATTCGAGGAAGATGAAACAATTTTTATGTAGATATTTTTCTTAAATTATTGAAAGAAACTTAGTTATTTAAAGTATAGGATGTGCAGGTGGTGTAACAGATATTAGCACAGAAAGTGAAAGCAGTGAGCTGAGTTTAAATTCCAGTCTTGACAGATGCATTCCTTTTTGAAATGTCATGACTTTCTGGTGAAAAATAATAAAGTGATTTTTGAATTCAGAGTATCCTTCTTACACTAGCTAGCAGCCAAAGTGAGATAGCATAGTTTACCCTACTATTTTACTCTTTAATACATTAGTGGAGGAGTGTGTGTGGGGAGGGTGAAGAAGTTATGTCCTTTCTCAATGGACATTTGTGTAAGAGTAAATTAGGGAGGAATTTGAACTTGGCTCACTGATTCCACTTTTTGTGTCAATATCCATTCTATCTGCACACATTGAGAAACTTGTTATCAGAATGTAATAAATCTTGAACCTCAATTTCTTTGAATCCCATTTTCCATGCTATTATTGGCTGAGATTATTTCATCTTCAATGAATTTCAGAAAAGTTTCAAGTTGTTATAGTATCGATGTTCATTATAATGGGATTTCCTTCACAGAGGAGATATAAAAAATATTGGTGTATGTCACAGTTAATCAACACTACCATACACACTGAATCAAGAAAAATGTTGAGTGTTTATCAAAGGACAGGAATAAAATTAAAGTACTTTTAGTCATGCAATTTTTTTCTTAAATGCTGACACAAAGTTAAATTGCCAGATTATATTCCAAGAATATTAACAAGGACTTAATTTTTTTAAATTATATACAACTATATTTCCTAGTGTAAAATATGCACTTATATTTTGGCAAAGAATATTTAGGAAATTGTGTAATCATATTTTATTGCGGTTTTATTCATATTTATAATTTAATAATTTATAATCCTGTATAATTCTGGAGCTTTTAGGAGAGTTATTTGGATATTATTTTAGTATTGGGGTATAAGATGGAGGGTGATTTTTTTTTTTTTTTTGTAGGACAGTACACATTATATAGCAGAAAATACAATACTTTTTAAATTTTGATGTTTCACTATGCAATTTTTTTCCTCTCTGCTCATTGTAAATTTTTAAAATTGTTCTACTTTCTGAAATCAGACAACAAAATCACCAGACCCTCTAAAATGAATTTGACACAACATCAATGCAGACAGAAAACATCTGTACTGATATTAATGAAAGCAAGTATTGGTCAGTGAAAAATAAAATAAAAAATTTAATGAATACAAAGCCTTAAAAAAATGAATGCGAATGAACTCCTGGAACACAAAGAAGACAAATTTCATTTATTTGTTAGAAAGCAACAATCAACTTTATAATTGGCTGTCTGGTTATACAAGGAGTTGCTGAAAAGTTCTTGGCATGACACACTTCCAAAATATGACCAAGCATCAGAATTTGGGGAAAAATACCTTCTTGGTTGGGCCCAAAACTTTTCAGCATTCACTAATTCTTTATTCTAATACATTAAAAAGTAGTTTATGGCTTTTGTTTGTCATGAGAAACACAGTCTTATGGTCAAACAAAATCAAAAAAATATTTAAAACAGACATTCAGACTAGCAAATCTACATGGTTTTGTATTTGCTAATTTTTAAACAAATAAGAACAGTTTCATATATTGGGTAATTTGTTTGGTTTTTAAGTAAAAATAAAATATTTTTCTATTTTCAGCATTGACTTTATCGAACAACATAGTTACCATTTTGTTCCACTATCTTCTGCCATTTTTTAAGGAACTTCATAATTCTAGGGCATTTTTATCTTCCTTAATAAAAGACTTCTCTACAGCTTTGGCAGATGTTCAAAGATTTCTGTACACACTGGAATTATGATAATCTGAAAATGCAATATCTGGGGCTTATGGTCACATCATGTTCAAACACTGGATTTCATATGATCACCAAAGTAAAATAATTTTGGGCATAAACAGTATCTAAATGGGTGACTACTTGAGAATACCAAGTGATGTAAACTTGGATGTGCAAGTGGTGTAATAGATAAAGGCTTGGAATTGTTAATTGGAGAGCCAAGTTCCAATTCTTGTTGCATTCATTATATTCACTTATGCACAAATACCCTTGGGAAAGGTAAGAATTTACCTCTTCTCTTTCAGCTATGGGTTAAGTAGTAAGACCTGTATCACTAACCTATTATTATCTCAAAGAGAAAGAGAGAGATTCTCAAAATCTAGAAATATTTTCTGGCTTTAACTAACCTGATAAGCTGTAGAAAATGAATGAATCAATCAATTGAAGCAATATCTGGTGAATAAGAGGGTAAGTGAACAAAAAAAATTCAGTCTAGTTTTATCCTCATATAATATTAGCCTCTCCTTTCTGTGAACTAATTCTGGATATGTTTCATCAACTGTTGCCTTCTACCAGTCTAATCAAGAGCAAAACCTTTTCAAATCAAACATTTAATTCTAAAAAAGTCCCCCCAAACCCATAGTAAATTACTCTCTTCCACTCTCACCATATACATAACATTATTTTTTGGGATGAATTGTAGTTCATTTCATTTGTCCTATGTTCGCTTGTATTCCATGTTGTAAAATATCCACTTTTTATTACCTGTTACAGTTGTTTCAGAATTAAAATATTTAAATGCAATTTCTTTTTTTTTTTCAAAATGACTAATATTAACCAAGCTGTTACAAATGATTTCCAATGCTTGATTTGGATATTTTGAGGATGTTGACTATTTCCTGCATCATATAATATCAATAATCAATTCAAGACATAACTTGAAAGTAACTATCAACCTCAATTGATCTCCCTTGTTGTAGAACATCATTCAACAAGAAATCTCTATCACAAAATTCTTCAAATCACTTTTGGCATGTTTGTAACTTCTCCATAAACAGCTAGAATCTTCCGAGTTATATTTTTATTTTCCTTAAAATGACAAAGTATAATAAACAAAAAAATATTGCTTAAACAAAAATAGATAAATTTTGTCACTTAAAAAAGAAAAAAAGACTTATGACCTCAAAATTTACATTTTTTTTTATTTTTAGACTTTACATCATTGTGTACAGTAAACTGAATACCTCATGTATTGAGTGAGCAAATAAGTCATTAAAATACTTTTATGCCTTTAAAGTGTGTATTACTTCAAAAACTACTTTTGCAGCATAATTAGATGGTGGAATCTTTTGGAATCTGAGGTCTAATGTTCTTTCTTCTTAATTTTTTTTAAGACTTCATGTCCTTTCAGGACGTAGGTGACCATAGCTCAACATACAATTTGTTTGTTTCTGCCATGATTTTTTGGAAAAGACAGTGGAGTGGCTGCTACCCAAGGCCAGAGAACCCAGTCTGCCTTGCTTTTAGCCCATAGCTGAAAGAAGAAATGATTTCTTATCTTTCCTAAAACCTTAGTACAAAAGTGAACACAACTAGGCAGGAATTTGAATGCAGCTTACAAATTCCACTTTCAACACCAATGAGCATTATGTTACATGCACATTCATCCTCTTAAAAAGCTCCTAAGTAGCGTCCATGTCTATGCTAGGTCTAGTGAAGGTGTTATTAAAGCTTTGCGTAGGTAGTGCTTCTTTAAGGTTTGTGATGCAAGAAATACAAAGTAGCAAATACTGAGAGAGCTAATTTTGCCATGCATAACATGGCCATTATATCAAAGAAAGGAAAATGTCTAATGGCTCATTCTGACCAATTAAGACCCAGAATTGAAGAGGAAGATGTTGTGATGGATGAAGACCTTGACAGAGAAGAAAGGATGAGTTTTTCAGATCAAGATAATACAATAGAAGACTAGCATATGAATGATAGCAGAAGTGACTCGGACACAAAAGAAGATGAAATGAAACTAAGATCACCATTAAAAAGAACAGGACATAAACCTCAGGGGGGAGAGGAGGAAAGAGGTTGCAGAAGAAGTTCAAGAACAACTAAAGGCATTAAACCTCTTTGGTTTACAGAGGTGTACTGGATTGGTAAATAGGATTGTACCTATTTTCATATGTGAAGTAGAAGAGATATAAAGTGTATGGCAAACTAAGAGACAGATGGAAGTTGACTACTGATCATATGTCATAGAACAACACAATACAACAAGAGGAAATAAAAAAAGAAAGAAGCCCCAAGCCTAATTGGCATGACAGGTATTGGATAAGTCATATATTCTTAGTCAGTTGATGAGGCTAACAGGGAACATTGGGTTTAAGGCACCATAGTATTGAATTTCCCACTGGAACCCATGGTTTTATGGATAAAGCTTTAAGTGAATAGATTTACATAGCAGTTGTTAGTTTAATCCTTAGGTTATGTAGTCCAAAAAGTAATATGCTCTGGTTCAGTGGCAGAGACAAATAAAATTAACTTACATTAACAGTAAAGTGGATTGAATAAAGGGTTTGGTTTGAATTTCCTATGTTACAAATTAAAATTAATTTCCTTTATCCAAATATGGCTGTAGTTATAGACATAGAGTTATCTGCTTTTCACAGTAACCACTGCCTATAGAAGTCAACTGAATTTCCATAAGGTATCAGTCTCACTTGCATCAGCTTAGGAGGATTGGGACTCTCTCTTCTAATTAAGAATTCAAGGGACATTAACCACCTTCTTAGCCTCCAAGTAGGCAAAAGTAGTCAGTATATATATTTGTATTATATTTTTAATTTATTGTATATTTGCATGTTCTTCTACCTATGTTTCATTGTCTAGTTCTATAATATTGTAAGACTGTGGATGTATCATCTTCAGTGGCAGACCTACATTTTGGAGGCCTTAAAGCTTGAACAGATATGGGGGCGCCTTTACAACCAGCGACAATAGATTTGAGGATCCTACTGCCAAAATGTAGTTTACAAACAGATTTTTGCAAGCTCAATGAACCCATACACCCGGGGGTTCAGATACTGCAAGCCCCAAAGAAAATTTTGAAGTTTGACCAATTACAGGGAAAAATTGAGGCTATATGAAATGGGTATTAGAGCCTATTTTACAGAAAACATTAGCTACTTCAACCTATTGGCTTATGATTCTATCACTAAAATGAACATATTTTAAAAGCAAACATTAAAAAACAACATTGATTTTCTTGAATACATTCATTTGAAACAGTTGCTTCCGGAGCCCCTCTGGGAATAGGGGCTTAAGCTTCATTCATTTCATAGTAGACCCGCTACTGAACAGCTTGTAATAAAACATCAATAAAAGGAATTTTGTCTTCATTTTGTGGATAAGAGATGCCAAATAGCCTTTATTTCCTCTGGAAATTTTGCATTTTTAAAGAAAAATTACTTTTTAAACTGGGAACAAGTGAAATGGCATCAAAATGGAGGCTTGATTTACAATATATATTTAAACTGGGGCCTAACTTTGTGTCCATGTTTATTTTAGCAGATATTTTATTTACATAAAATGGACACAAAGTAAATGTTCAGTTTAACATTATACTTACATTGAAAAGTGACCCTCCCTGACCAAAAAGATTTTTTCAAAGCATATAAAAACACAAAGAAAATTGCCTACAAACATAAGCTGCATCACTAAAGTGAATCATAATATACCTAGTTTCTGCCACAAAGAAAGACAAATGATAAGAGTCAGTGAAATTTTTTTTAATCTATGCAAATTTTTAACAACAAATAACAATGTGTTGAAAATAACAATAAAGTACACTATTCCCATTAAAAACTGATATTCATTTAAAAAATTGAACCATATTTTTACTATTTTTTTCCTTAACAAGTTCAACTTTTTAAGAAATATTTGGAAATTTAGGCCAAAACCATAACTTTTATTTGTAGTTGATTTGTTTCATAAAAATAATCTTTATTAAATTTGAATGAAAATTATCATTATTCAAATAAATCCAAATTGAAATGTCATTGATATTTGAATATTTCTTTTATACTTTAGTTAATTTATACAAATCTTTGTACTTTAATTAATAATATGACACTACCTTAAAAATTTACATCTGTTTGTTCTTTAATGGCAAAAAATATTTTTGGAAAAAAAAAAAAAAAAAATTCACCAAATAATTGCTTGTTTAAAATATTTTGTGTAATTCACAGTGTAATCCCTGTGCTCAGTTTCTAATAAAAATTTCCCGAATAGTTACATTTAGGTGTAAATGTAAAGCTTAATTCAAAAATAACAAAAGAATTGCTAAAATCTACCATTTTGGAGTTATCAACAATAAAATTTTGAACTTATTCATGTCTGCCATTACTGGCATTGTTTACATACATTCACTTCAGAGTAGTCATTCATAGAAGCTTACTTAGTTAACAGCCTTTTTACTGATTTTACTCGTCTCAATTATTGCGCAAGGGTTAGTGTTAAGGGTAGGGTTATAGATTTTGGTAAATTTGTTTAAGTTATTTAGAATAGCAATGACAAGTGTTTTTTTTTATAATAAAACAAATAACAATTAAATAAATAAATAAATAATAAAACAAATTGTAATAATAGTAATGAAATCTTATTTGAAGGTACTTAATAATCATGTTTTGAACTATAAATTTGTTCTTGTTATTATTTCCTTTCTATCATTTTTTTATTTTGTAAATAATCATGCTCTTTTTAAATTTTGTGCATTAATCAAGACAAATGAAGCTTCCACGAATGACTGTTCCAAGGCAAATGAAGGTAAAGAATGTCAGTAATGGCTGCCGTGCTGTAGCCGTGATGTGAATGAGTCTGAACTTTTATTGTCAATAACTCCTAAATGGTACATTTTAGCAAAATTCCTGTTATTTTCAAATTAAGCATGTACATTTACACCTAAATGTAACTATTTGGCATTTTTAAAAAAAAATAGAAACTGAGCACAAGGATTACAATGCAAATTACCCAATAAAAATGTATATGTTGATTTGTTCTTTATTTAAAAGAAATCTTATTGGAATTTTAAAAAAATCTGTTTTTTATACACAGATATCAATGAGGTAAACACAGTTTCAAACTTGACATTTATAAACAAACAGGGCAATTTCTATAATTCTATAAAAAAGTCAGGGATGATTTGACATTGTATTGATATAAAAATAAAATGATAACAAGTAAAAATATTTTTTGGTTCTGACAAATGTCATGGCCTAAGGAAAAAAAAAAAAAAAAAAAGAGTACTAATAAAAATTATTTCAAAAAAAAATTTTTTTCCCTATTTTTTACGAGTCAACCAGTCTACTTAAGTAGTGCCATAATGCATGATTTTTGGAATTCTAAACAGTTTAGGACTCTAAATTTAAAATAAAAAGTTCATAAAGAATTTAGAACTGTTCAAAGTTCCAGAAAAAGTACACTACAGTCAAATAGTCTGCAAGTTAGTCTGACTAACTTATTTTTGAAGTTGATTCTCACCAAGCGGACAATACTTGTTACCTGCTAAAATTATTTCCTCCTTAATCGAATTATTCTATTCGACAACATAATAACTAGGAAATAAAAAAAGGCTTGAACAGAACATGTGTTTGGTTACACTACCGGTGTAGGATTCAGTCAATTATGTGCCATGCATGATATACGCTTAAGCGATAATGTGCAGTAGACCAGTTGCCATCCAAGGCTATAGAACCTGGTCTGTCCTGCTATTTTACCCATAGCTTGGGGGAGAAGAGGATTCATACCTTTCCCAAGGGTATTTGCACTAGAGGAGTAATAATAAAAATTAGTTTTCTGCTGATACAAAAAATTTGAAAAAAATATTTATCATTTAAATTCGTCTGTTACTATTTTTTTAATCAATTTTTAAAAAGACATTTTAAAAATGGTTTATTTATTATCATTTAAAAAATATATAACCATACTGGTAATAAAACGCCGAAAAAAAAAAAAAAAAAAAAAAAAAAAAAAAAAGATATATAGAAATTCAGATTTATTTTTTTGAAATTAAAAAAAAAAAAAATTCTAAAATAAAAGTATAAAACTGAAAAAAATTACATAAATTAAAATTATGACCAGAAGCTGCAAACTGAGAAATAAAATTCAATAATTTCTTAAATAAATCTTGCATTTTTTTTTTTTAATTATTAATTAAATTTAAAATGAATGGGTAATTTTTAAATGAATTTATCTATAAATATAATTTATGGCGGGTAAAACAATGTTAACAACAGAACAAGAGAAAATGATGTTTTTTAAAAATTAGTTTTTATTCATTCAGGGAAGACGGGTGATTTTGTTTTACAGTTTTAAACCTAACTAAAAAAAAGTAACTAACGGAAAAAATGACCCATTATTCCGGATGGAACCACGATCCCTTAGTCTTTGTTTAGTTTTAAAAATAAAAAATACCCAGAAAAAAAAAATTAAAAAAAAAAAATAATGCCACAAGTAAAACTGAATTTGAATATAAAATGCTCGATATGAAGATATTGTTTAATTTTTTTCTTTTTTTTTCAGTGATGGCTTGAAAAAGGAAGTAAGTCTACATTTTTAGAATCACAAATAATTCTTTAAATCCATTATAATTTTGATGAAAGTGAAAAACAAATGCTTAATTTCACTAAATGACATTTAAAACTAAAAAAAAAAGAAAATAAAGAAAAACATTAAAAGGTGAAATTTTAAATAAATAAATTAGCGCGCAGTCTGTTGTCCTGTGCCATGCTTATGTTCACTTACCTTCAGATGTTTTGCATGTCTAGGTTAAATTTTCCTTCGAGGATCTATTACTAAAGAAGCGGCCAAGACGAAAGCTTATTGATTAAACTGAAGTTTTCAGTCAATTTTTTCCTATTTAAAATACGAACATTACATAATATTTACGCGAAAATTCAACCAAGAGTATATAAATAGAGAGAAAAAAAAAGTACAATTTCGGTGATGACCCATATCTGTCCCGACTATTTTGAAATTTCTTTTTCGTGTTAAACTGAAAGGAAACAAAAAAAATGACTCTATTCTCTTGGTAAAAATTAACTGTCCATTTAAAAACGAGGTTAAATTTATTCAGTAAAGTTAATGAAAATAATCCTGATCTGTCACAGCTGTTCTTTCATTTTCTTGTTTATTACGGCACAAATGAAAATGAAATATGCTCAGTCGTCTGTCTACAACATAGCTAAAAAAAAAAAAAAAAAAAAATCGATGGTTTTTGATCGTTTAATCGTCACACAGCCCTGGAGGAAGACAACAACTTTTAAAAATAATAATAATAATGATAATGTTAATAATAAAGTAAAACTGTTGACTAAAAAAACGGAATTGATAAACACACGCAGTGCTGATAATTAGTGGCGAAGAATGAATTAAAAAACAAAAAAAAACCTAATTTAAATTAAGATAACCTCATATTGGGTTATTCGCTTTTTCATTAAGCAATTATATTCAAAACCGAATTAATTAACCGACGGCAGATACTTAGTAAAAAGATAGTTCAATTATGTCGATCTGATTATTCAAAGAGGCCTGAAGTGTACTTGTTAAAATATTGTGATGAGATTGCATCACTATTTTAGTCAGTTAAGCTTCCGCTTATCTCATTTAGTCTCTATTCTACTGTTTACTTTTAAGTAAAACAGTAGAGAAGACTAAATGGGATAAAGCAAAAAAAAATTCCTAACTGACTAAAAAATAGTGATGCAATCTCATTAGATTGTGTGGCCAGTAAACTGTAATCAAAGCAAATAAGCATTTTGAATTGGTTTCACTTTTAAGCTAGGTTCAAACAGCTGCTGCCAATGAGAAATGTTCAACTATTGCAGCTGCTATCATACAGATCATTTTTTCTAGTTTCATTTTGTTCTAAAAGTGTATTTTATTAAATCAATTGAATCACTTAATATTTGGATAATTATGTTTTTTCTCTTAATTATTCCTCAATATTCTGCATAAAATACTTTTCAATGTAAGAGACAATTTTTGGAAGGGTATTTTTTCATTTTAAAAATACCTGATAGCAGGAAACCAATCCACTGTTTTTCCTATCTTAATAAAGAAGAGGAATCTATGGAAAGTTGCAATTGTCTATATGCTGAAGGGATATGGAAAAAAAATTATAATAAATAAATTATTTGAAGAATTTCCGGAAGAAATAAACAGGTATGAAAATTGAAAAAGATAAGACGAAAAAGAAAACAATGTCAAAGAATTTTCTTTAATAAACAATGTAAGTTGTTAGTAGCATTCAACAGTTTAAAATTACTGTTTTTGTTGTGTACATAATTGTAAAAGTTGCAAATATTTGTACACATAAGCCAAAGAGTAAAAATATAATAAATGTTTATGTATGGTAAAATATATACTCTTGTGTGTGTATGTAAAAGTTAAGTGAATGCAATCAGCAAATAAGCAAGCTGTGAAAAGCAAAAAGGTTGAAGCAGAAGGTAAGTTGTCTGCAACACATAATTGTTATATGCACAAAATTAACTATTGATAAGCAGCAAGAAATGTCTTTCCAAAAACTGATTAACAGTGCTAAATTGAATATTCATTTTGGTCAAGAAATAGAAAGTGCAAAAATGAAAAATATTAAATTAAGTTTAAATACATGAAATGTATTCTCAATAGGAAAACCATTGCAAAAAAAAAGTGAAACTTAATTTCCAAGAGGCTAAAAACAAAGCGGGGATCTAGATGAACAACTTGCTAATTGGCTAGAAATGTTTCATTTTTTTCTGGTTGGTTAGAAAAAATGTATTCCATTTCTGATTGGTTAGAAAATATTGATGTAATTCAATTTTTTGCATTTTTTTTTATTATCTGTGATGCTACTTTGACACAGAATTTACTCTTGAACGAAATATAGTTTAATATGGTCCACTACAATTGTCCCCTTTTTATGTTTGAAAGTGTTCCTGAAAAATAACACAAACATGGCATCTTAACATGATCAGTAATTTGTAATGCTTAAATAGCAGTATATATTCAAGTTCTGTAAAAGAACACCCATTATACAGGAAATTACAAACACCAAAGCCAGTATTATATTTTTGAATGCTTATCTTGAACTGTAACACATTTACAACACCCTCTCAGAGAACATGTTTAGTACATCTATAGGCCCTTTAGACACCCTGTTTAAACAATGTATGGGGAATACAATTCTCTATAATCTATTGGGTTGGAACATAAAATTCAGTGTTTTTCAATAGGTGATAATTGAATATGATATCACATGACTGAAATTTATGACAGATATTCTGAAAGGTGACATTTTGATGTTTTTCTACATAAATCGTATGTTAAATGTGAATTTTAAAGGTAATGCTATGTATCTCATAGGATTGGAAAGGCATTGTGTATTGCAAGCAGTAGTGTGCAGAAGTGGGGGCAGTGACTATGATGGGAAAAAGGCATCCAAATCAAGAGGGCATCCAATCAAAGAGTGAAATAAAAATTTCAGGTTTTGAAATTTAAAATAGTGTTTATTTCATGTTTCATTAGTTTTTACATATTTAAAATGTCTTCATTACTCAAATTACTCAGTACTAGCCTCCCTAATTGAATCTTAGAGGCATACAATCAAGGAGTTGGCCCTGGACATCAATTCTGGAAAAATCTTACATTGAATTCATACAAATACTGTTCTTAGTAGACTGAATAAAGGCAGCATTTGATGAAAAGCATTAAGAATTTGTCAATCAGAAAGGCATCATATTTTCCATCAGGATAACACCAGATTTCATATTTCTTTGCAGACGTGAAAGAAAATGATACTGCTGGGCTGGGATGTCTTGCTACACCTACCATACTCGCTTGACCTTTCAACTGCTACCAAAGTTTCTTAATGGGAAGAACTTAAATTCTATAGAAGCTTGTAAAAACTGCTTAGACCAGTTGATTACACAGAAGGATGTTAAGTAATAGGAGGATGATATCATAAAGCTGCTTCATAAATGGCAAAAAGTTAGTGGAACAAAATGTCACAAATGTGGTTGAATAAATCTAAGTACAAATATGTAAATATTATCTTTGAAATTCACTTTAAAAATACCATGGACGTTTGTTCTAACCCAATATATATCTATATTCTTTTTTTATTATTAAATCTTGTGGGATCTTCGGCAATTTCTTACAAGAGCTAAGAAAAGTTGTTTTAAGATTTTAATGTTAGAATACTTACCAGAATCCTTACATTTGGACACATGTCAGAGTTAAATATTTAGCAAGCTACATTGCTAGTACTGAGTGTAAGAGAGTAAGTTTATTTCAGGGGTTCTCTTACACAGTCTGAGTGAGAAGGTAGGTGACATTTGGGGCAACTTCTGACATCTCAGATTAATAGATCAGCTTTTCCCTTCAACCAGCAATAATTCTGTCTCCTATCACCCCTCTGTCCATCTCTACATTATATTGTGGCTGATGTGGCTGGCAGCTCTAACGGGCAACATTGCAGCTATCTTGATGGTCAGCCTTTATCCAGTAATGGGCAGCCTGTCATTACTTTAAGAGATAGTTGGTCTCCTGCCAATGTTTGTCCAGAACTCACCTCAATCCCAACTATAACCGTTAATATAGACCAACAACTGGAAATCAGTTTGTTATCATTTAATCCCAAAAGATTTCTCGTCCTGGGTAAGACGTCAAACTACATCCGCATCCTGGGTAAGACGATAAACTACATCCAGCAGCAAGGCCTCTGATCAGGAGGTTTTGAAGAGTGTGGAACCACCTCTTAATTGCTGGTGTTCCCAGGTCCACCCTAACCCAGGGTGGTAGCACCTGTTAGGGTCCCAGCTATGGGCAAATAGTTACCAGCAATACTTTTTTGAAAAAAATTATTATCAGCAATACAATTTTGAAGGAAAAATATTGCCAGAAACAGATTTTTGACAAAACAAAATATTACAAGCAATAAAAAATGTTGTCAGCATTAAATAACCCATTGAGGTTGATATGCCGTAAAACAAAATAAACCAAACCAATCTAAACCAAAGAATACATATTCTATCCATATGAATCTATCCTAAAAATGCTGTTGGCATTTAATAACCCATTGAGGTTGATATGCCATAAATCAAAATAAACCAAACCAAATCCAAAAGATTTCATTTATTTAATATTTTATTTTCTTGTGGTCAAGTGAGTGGCTGTTTTGATGGCTCCACATCACTGACTTTATCACTGGTCCTAAAGCATGAAACACTTAAGACTTAAAAATCATGCAAAATCCTCTTCTATGGAGGTTTCCCAATAATAGTGTCACATACATATTACATGTGGGTGCAGGGCACCTAATAGTTAACAGCGAAACAGAAATGGTGTTGCATAATACATTGGCTAGATAGGGAAAAATACTAATTATAATGAAAATCCTGCAACCAATTTTTATTTATTTTTCTAAACAACAAAAAACTTGGCATGATTATAAAGAATATGTGACTTGGATAGTAAATGTAATTTAAAAACCCTAATATACTTGATCTGAACTTTGGTCCAAAACAAACCAAAGTGAGCAGGGATGATTTGAACCCAATGGATATGGAATCATAGCAGTGAGGGAATATCTTTGTCTAAATTTTAATATACAACAGAAAAATGAAAATGGAGAGTACGTTTGTGGCAGTATCAAGAGCTCTGATACTTATCTGAACTTTCCTCTTCCAGTAAATCTATCCAATCACTATTATTTTTGTAGCTTCTCCAGCATTCAAGCTTCTTGTTAACATTTGTCTTGAAAGCCTGGTTTACTGTCTTATT